TACTTATTTTGTTTTGTTCTTTTTTTCAGCGCTAGTGTTCAAACCCAGGGTCTTGTGCATGTTGGGCACAAAGGAAATGCTCTACAACTAAGCTCCATCCTCAGCCCTTTTATATCAGTGTTTTGAACTATTTCCATTTACTCTATTATTTTGCAGACACAGCCAGAGGAGGATATTTCATGAAAACTGTGTGTGAGACTGTTTATGCTGTTCCTCACCTAATAGAAATACTTCAGTTCACTACTCAACTCAGAACCCGTTTGACACCACCAGCAGCTAAAACTAGCCCAATTATTAAAACTAACCATTGTAATGACTTACCTTGTCACAGTTTGATTCTTCTATCCTCAAATACTGACTTATTTTTAAAATACAATTCAGTAATAACAATGACTTTTTCTGGGAATAATAAAAGGAGTTTTTACCTAAATTATACTCTCATAATTTGCTCAATGATTGTCATTAAAGGTGTAAAATAGTCCAGAAGGATTTAAGCAGCTAGAGGAGTAATCAAAAGAAACCACAATCAGCTCTGATGAGATAATCTTTTTCAACTGTGGCTAATCCAGAGCTAATGGGAGCACAAGTACCAGCATGATACATGCTATCATCCTTGCTTTCATTATTATTTGGTATGTGTTCATGCACATGGTCCAATATTTATGATTTTTTTACTCAATTTTATTCAGGTTAGTACTTTCCAAACTTTTTCTGTGGCACACTTGGGCATGGTTAAGGAAATCTGGTAAAAATGGTTCCATGGACAGTGGGTATCTCTACCAGGGATTCACAGCATATTGAAAGCTCTGAGAAGCCCACTTAGTCCATTCAGACTGATACATCAAAATACCATAGAATGACATAAATTTTTCATAGTCTTCCTGGTAGTTAGGAAGTTGAAGAAGGCACGAGCAAATCTGCTGTCTGGTGGGGGCTCACTTCCTGGTTCAGTGTTTAACTGTCTTCTTGTGCTAGTCAGTTTTATGTCACAGTAGACAAATACCTGAGATAACTTTTTTTCTCAGTGGTACTTTCAATTGAACCCAGGGCCTCATGCTTGCTGGGAAAGTGCTCTACCACTTGAGCTATGCCCCGGAAATAACAAAAGAAAGGATTACTTTGGCTCATGGTTTCAGAGGCTTCAATCCATGGTCACTTGACCCCATAGTTTCGGGGCTTGGGTTGAGGCAGAATTTCATAGCAGAATGGGTATGGTAGAGCAGAGGTGCTCACCACATGGCAGTCAAGACAGAGAGATGAAGGGGCAGTGGTCAAGGTGTATTTTTCCAGAACATGCCCCAGTTAACCTACTTCTTCCAACTAGGCCCCACCTCCCAATAATGCCATGTTAGGAATGCATCAAGGGATTGGATCCATCAATGTATTAATGAGTCCACCAATTAATCCATTGATTAGCAGCCCTCAGGATCCAATTTCCTCTCAATACCAACAGCTGGGGACATGTGAGCCTTTTGGAGGGGAGGGACACTTCATATATAAACATTACTTGAACCTCACATGCCAGAATGGGCCAGTGGCCTCTTTTATAATCCCACTCATGAGGATTCTATTCCTATGACCTAATTACCTCCCAAAAGCCATACCTCCTAATACCATCACTTTGTAGGTAAGGATCTCAACATACAAATTGGGAGAAACATAAACATTCAGACCACAGTCCCCACCTATAAAGAACCAACATATTTAACAAGGCTTGACTATTAACATAGGTTTCACAAATTTGAACATGACTTTTTTCACACCATTCTTAACATCCTGTAGCATAGCATTCTGAAGAACAAGCTACTGCTACACAGGTAGAATCATAGCTAAAACTCTAATAAAATGTCCTTGTTAAAATGGCTTCATTATAAATGTTTTTTCAAATGATCCCATTTGGAGTATTTAATATTGCTGCCATGCTGTTTTAAACCTGTTCTAATCAGCTACAGCCCCATCCCTTGATAGAAATTGATCTTGTCAATTTTGACTTCTATATTGCTTCAAAAAAAAATGGTTCTCAGGTCATCATCTTACCAGATTAGCAGCATTTTACAAGGCTGATCACTCTCTGCTGCTTGATATACTCAGTTACTTAATCATGACTCACTGATTGCTTCTCAGATGCCTTTGCAGGATTCTTTATCTTTTCCTTTTTTTTAAGAGTACCTAAGGGTTCTGTTGTTTAATTGTTCCTTTTTATATCTTGGTGATTTTGTCAAGTCTCAAATTTTTAAATCATCTATACTTTGACAATTCCAAGATGGACATTTCTAGGTCAACTCTCCACCCATCTTCTTTTCATCTCAAATTCATTGTCTTAATTGAACTTTTGACTTTCCCTCTTCAATGTCTTCATGCAGCTTTCCAGACCATAAAGGCAACTCTTATCTTTACAGTTACAAAGAACAAAGCTTAGAATGACTCTTTTCTCTTATCCTTAATAAGAAAATCCTAGTGGCTCTTCCAATAGCTGTACTTACAGAGTACAATTGGAATCCAACCACTTTCCACTGTTTCCACTACCACTCTGGAGCAATGTGTGATCTTCAACAATCATGATAGTGAGATCCTTACACAATGTATAGGGTTAGGGCTGTGGTTCAAATGGTAGAGTGACTGTCTGGCAACACAAGCCCATGAGTTCAAACTCCAGGACCACCACCACCACCACACACACACACACACAGTTTAAAAGATAAAGTCATTTTCTCTACTCAAAACTCAACCATCACACCACATCCCACAGCCAAATCCTTCACAAAAGCTGACAGAATCCTACACAATGTATAGGGCCACCACTAGGCCCCTTTACTTTTATGAACTCATCTCCCAGCTACTCTCCTTGGCTCACTGACCTCCAGCTATACTGACTTTGCTGTTCTTACAATTTCTCACACACACTTCTACAGTCCATACAAAAAAACTCCCTTCAAGTATTTGTGTAAATTCACCTTCTCAATGAGGCCTACACTGATCATCCTCCTGAAAATTACAATATATTCTCAACCTGCCTGCCATCCCAAATCCTTTTTCATTGTCTATCACTTTATATAGTTATTTACTTATTATGGTTTTTGTCCCCTGCTACAAGAATGTAAACACTCCCACTCTCTATACCACTTATGAATGCCAATAATTACAACTGCACTGCAAATTATCTAGGCAGGTCCTCCTTAGGGCAAGATCTGGAGAGAAGTTGGGGAGCAGACTGAATAACAAAGAAGAGTTGAATTTTGTAGGACAAAGTAGACCTACATGATAGAGAACATAGATACTGCACGTTCTGCTATCTCCCACTGACCTTGGTGTTGTTGATGTAACTCACATGAGGATTCATAGTGCCTCATCTGATACCATCATTACATGGAAGAAAACTCTGGAGTAAGATTAGATGAAGGCAAGAACCTATGCCTGATTTATTCAGTATTCTATCAAAAGTCTAATAATCCTGCCTTTTTAATTATCTTCTACCCCTGAATTATATCTCTCCCTTTCACAGTTGGTTGTTAGAGCTTTTCTCTGATTTTTGCTTTAAAAATCTGATACTCCTTGGATGAGTTTATCAAAGATGGCATAAAATTGTACAGATGCTGAGAAAAGCAGTTTCCTCAGAAGTTATTTGTCTGCATTAGATCTCCTGTGTGAACAGAAGTTATGGTTCTGGGTAAGTTATGAGGGCTTTTAGGGACCCACCAGTGAGGATATGGTTGGCACGCAGAAGCTGTTCTTCCCCATACATGCCAAACTAAAAAGGCTTTACTCTGGGAACAAAGTTGCCACTCTCAACTTCCCTACTCTGTTTTTCTATCACAACCCAATACCATCACTGGAGCTCCCCAGGGATAACCCCTTTCTTTCAAGAGTGAGTTACTCCCAGCCTGGTGCTGGTGGTTCATGCCTGTAATCCTACCTATTTGGGAGGCCAAGATCAGGATTTCAGTTCAAGGCCAGTCCAGGCAAATAATTCAAGAGACCCCCCCATTTCAAAAATAACAGAGCAAAAGGGACTGGAGGTGTGGCTCATGCGGTAGAGCACCTGCTTTGCAAGCACAAAGCCCTCAGAGTTCAAACCCCAGTCCCACCAAAACAGAGTGGCTTTTTTTCTGGCCTGAAGAAAGTACTTTTGTCAACCAATCGCCTGGGATAGGAAAGAGCAAGGGTTCCCAAAGCAGTTCTTAATAAATTAATGTGATTAAACTTTGGTCCATTCCTCTTCCATTCCCCAACTGAGCCTTAAAGCTTCCCCAGGACATTCTGAACATGGTTTTACTCTCAATCTCCTGCTTTATAACCTCCTGGAAAATCGCAATACTCCAAAGCCTAAACTTCTGGCTTTTGCTTTCCAGCACTGTTACACCTTTATTTATTCTGTCAATCCATTACGATCAAGAATGAAGAAAATAATTTCTGGCTATTTTCTCCTTATCATTTGGATGTAACAAAGTGTCAGCATTAATACAAAAAAATACAAAAATTTTAGAGACCTTCTCTATAGGAGGAAATGAGCATCTCCTCTTCCCCTAGTGCTTTTTTTTTTTTTTTCTTCCCCTAGGGTTTTCTTTTAGCTGCTCAACAAAACTGTTTCAAAAAAAATTTTTTTTAAATCTCAAGAATGTACTTTTTTTTTTTTGAGATAGCATATCAATATGTAGCCAGGCAGGCTGGAACTGGAGATCCTCTTGCTTCAGCCTCTAGAAAGCCTCTCTAGGATTATAGACATGCACCACCATGCCCAGATAGGAAACAGTTTCTTTAACATTTAAGAATGCAGAAATTCTTAATTGACACGGGTGATTTGAATTCACATAGAACTAATATCACATGCATACCACATACCTAAAGCATCTAATTCAAAACATATTCAGCACAGTTCAAGAAAAATGTGTGGTCATATTATTATTTTAGCCAGAAGGTGGGGGGGGGGAAGACTGTGATAGACTTCGTATGTGGAGATACAGTTTATGCTATTTTATTGGTTATTTCTTCAAACATAGCTTTCCCATTTTCTATCTTTGTACATTCAATCTGCACAAACTACAGCACACACCACTTCTCACCTTCAGTACTCTATTACAAGCCCATACCTTCACTTTAATGTTAAGAAAGATACTTAGGCAGCCTAAAGATAATATTAAAATTTCATTGTATCTTAAGCTTATATGACTCAATGTCCATTTATCCTTGAAAAAGTTGTCAAATAGCCAAAAGTTAAGTTTAAAAAAAAAAAAAGAGGATCAAAATAAGTATTCAGAAAGTTGTGGGGGCAGAAGACAATCAGGCCTTGGAGAAAAGCGGGACACATGCTAACAATATAAAAATAATACACCTTTAAAGTTAATTTTGATTTGAAAATGAGACATTTTTGCCTTGTGTTGCTTACTAGGCTACAAATGATCCTTGCCCCCAAATTCAAGATATGGCTATTTTCTAATTACTTATTTCCAGGAAATAAGGCATATTAATATAATAAATTCATTTTCTTAAAAGTTCTCAAAATAAGGGCTGTAGACATAGATAAGCAGTAGAATATCTGGCATGCATAAATCCCTGGGTTCAACCCTAAGCACTGCAAAAAGGGGGAAATTTCTCAAATTAATGGTGATTAACAATCACAACTTTATGCAAAGCCTGTTTTTCCTTAATCAAGCCTAAATAGGAAAGAACTAGTGGCAGAACACTTGCTCTAGGAAAGTACATACATCAAAGTTATAGTTAACAAAATCTTCATCTACCAGGTATGTGAGAGAAAGAGGGTAATAAGACAACAAAAGAAATTACCAAATGGCAATAAAACAAGGTCCTATAAGGGTTTTTCAGGCTAGACAAAATGACATCATGGGGAATATGGCCTATGATTAGCTTATGCTCCACTATTTATATATCTTACATGCCTCTAGAATTGCATAATAAACTTTAACAATAAAACGACAACACAGAACATCAAGTTGTAAATATTTATATTTGTATTTCTCTCACTCACACACAATGTTGTATGAGAAATTACTAGTTTTAATATGCATCCACAGGATTAATACTCATATGGAGTATAATGTGGAAAAGTGCAGAACTAAAGAAATAAGTCTATCTCAAAACAAAAGCACACATTTCTTAAGATTTAAAAATATTGCACATAATAAGGTTGTACAGAAATTACTGGCTGGTTTTACAAAAAGAATGAGGTATTAGTCAATCTCTAGATTAAGATAAGTGCAAAGAGGAAGAACTACATACATGTACACACACACATACAAATTCATATTAAGACTTAGAAGGTCAACAACTAATAAAGAAATATGAAACTGTATAAAGTAGCTAAGATTTCAACCCTACAAAATCATTAGTCAGAGACTAAACACGTAACAATCTCTTGGCAATACAAGTTTTCAACTTTTTTTCAGCTTAACTGATGGAGCAATATAATCATTTCTTTTACCTGAATTCTACTGTAGATAAGGCATGGCTCTGTGGTAAATACCAAACCATCCTTTTCTAAAGCTTTCAGTGGCAATTAACCAGCACACTGCTCTCCTTTGCTGAATGACTCTATTATATACAGTTTCATATACATTAAAAGCAACTGAAGCCACAGATGCTACAAAGCATGCAATTTTAAATTCGCAAAGGTTTCACTGCAAATAACACTCAAATTCACACAATTTATATCTACAACAATGTTTAAAGTTTCATCTTTAAATATGTATCAGGCAAATTCAATCTTTTTAAAATTTCTTTTTCTTGGTAATAAAACTGGCCACAAGAAGGGGCCTCAGGGCAGGTAAGGAAAAAAGACTAGATAGAATTATTCTTTTTTTAAAGAACCTTTCCTAATCAAGAAAATTAATAATTAGATTTGTGTCTACTAGCTGAATGTTGCTGAATTTGTCAAAAACAATTTAAATATTTGTAATAGCTGTATCAAATTGCTTAAAGTGAAATCATGCACGTGTCAAAATATTTCACAGAAAACTGTTTTGCATCAAAGATACTGAGGAAGAGTCAACTAGGTGGGTTTAATAAGAACAGAAAAAGAGCCAACTATTGCCCTGAACAGTCAGTGTATGTAGTCACCATATTTCCTCTTCTTTGAGTGACAGTTCTGCAGTGCTTGCTAGATCCATGAAATCTATTTTCAGTCTGTACTGTGTGTCTATTGGGGGTGTCAAAACCACTAAAAGAAAACATTTTCTCCATATCTTCAAACATGTCATCAAACAATCCACCTCCAAAAGAAAACTCCTGGAAATGATGCCTTTGTCTACTGGAACCATCCTGGCGTGTCTGGAAGTGATTTTCAAAATGCTTCTTTGAGCGAGTGTTTTGGTTTTGGCCAAAAAAACCAAAGTCTTTAAATAAGTCATCAAAATTGAAGTTAAATGATTGCTCAAAAGGACCTCCACTACCTCTTTGTCCTTTACCATTAGTAAAAGCACTGTGTCCAAGTGTATCATACTCTTTTCGCCTATTAGCATCTGAGAGTGTTTCATATGCTGAAAGAGATAAAAATATTTTAGTAACTAAAGGTAAAATATTCAAAATTACATATACACCCAAACCTCTTCAAATACATGATTTCAACTTTATTTTAAAGGATTTCCCATCACAACTCAAAGCAAAGCACTAGAAATATAATTAAGTTAAAATAAGTTATAAAAAACAAGGCAGGGACTTTGCCTTATTCACTGCTACTTTATCAGTAGTTAATACAATGGTATCACTAAACACCCAATAAGTATTTAGTAAATAAATGCTACCACTGTCACAATTAAGTGTATGGGCAACAATTACAATAATCTTCATATTATTTGTTAAAAAGCTATTACTTGCATTAAAGAATTAAGTGATTTTGATCACCAAACAATAGGAATTCAGATTTTTCACTTATTAGTTGAAGTAAGTATTTAGTTCCAACTCCCTACTCAGTTACCTCCACCTACCATTAAATACTGAATGTTCAAGAGGTACAGCTTGTTTGAGAAATAGTCTTAAGTCAAAATGTGTTTCAGACTTTTTCCTTTAAAGATAAATGTGATCTTGAAATGTAGATCAAATGAAAATTTTAAGTCTATTTTAATTTGTTTATACTAAATCTAAATAACTGGTAAAATATTGTGCTTCATAAGTTAGATGGAGTGCCTAAGAATCATTTTTACACAGAAACAAGTGACTTCATAAATAACAGAATGAAATAATACATTTTAAACATTTTTAGATGTGTATACCAATTAAATTATCTACAATTCATCTACTCATTCATTCAGCAACAAAAGTGTCTGTTGTGAGAAAAATCACAGAATTTCACTATATTTAAGTCCCACTCACCCTCCATCTCCATAAAACCTTCAAAAACACACAGACTTCTTTCCTATCATTCTCACTACTAGTTAATACCCATGAGACCTCAGGAAGCGTCATTTACTTACCTTCTGCAATCTCTCTAAATTTTGCTTCAGCATCAGGGCTCTTATTTTTGTCAGGGTGGTACTTCATGGCCAATTTGTGAAAGGCCTTCTTGATTTGACGTTCTGATGCTGATTTTGGCACACCTAAGATATCATAGTAGCTTTTTGAGGCCAGAATTAATTCTGTTATCATTAAAATGCAGATGGCAAAGATGAAAACTGACTGGGGAGTAGCCATTTCAAATGTCCTAAAAAAAATAAAGATAAAATTTTATTCATGGAACTAATCTTAAAAGATGCTTTTCTTTTAAAAGAAATTCAAACCAGGATGCTGGGAAATTTGGGAAGAAAAGAGAAGCCCCAGGCTCCCAATACAGCACCTTGCAAGAAAAAAAAAAAAACATTCCTTTGGGATATGAGGTAAACTTAATGCAGTATCAAAAAGTTACATGTACAGTATCTTACACACATTCTATTTTATTGTAAGTATTTTTGATTCTCCATTTGCAGTCTGGCTTACTTACTGAAATGAAAATGCCTGAATCCATGTTTTCTTAGGAAGTGATTTCTACTGATTTAAACACCCTGCGATATTTATTTTGGTAATAACCTTTTTTCCCTGCGACAATGAAGACATTACTACCCCCTCAGAATATTAATTTTTTGAGTCAGGGTCTCCTTATGTAGCCTAGGCTGGCCTCAAACTCCCTGTCCCCCTCCTCAACTTCCTTAAAAGACTGAGATCCTTTAAAATATTTTTTAGATTTTCTACTTAAGAAAAAAAAAACTACACTTGCATATGATGAATCCTCAATAACATCTGGTAAAAATCACTTAATGAAAATTCTGTGTTTGGCAGACTATTAGTGGAAAGGCAAAGGCAAGAAAGATATTTCTTAACTTGGTTGAATTCTATTTGCCCTTTAAAAGGTTAACACAATTTGGGAATTATATAACCTGCATAACTGTAAGATTCTCAAATGCTAAAGAAAAGACTTATGGATAAATAAGTTCTGCTTAAAACTCACAATTAATAGAATTTAAGATTTCTACCAAGGCGGCCAGAAAAAAGTGAACTAATTTGGTAATTTGTACTTTAGAGAATTTAGATCCTTATTCCAAAACTTCTCACTTCCAACATTTTTCTTACCTTGAAAGTACTAAAAAAAAAAAGTTTTAACTTAGAATTCTTAACTTATTGTCTTATGACTTGAGACTCATAACGAAGTAGTCCTGTCAGGAGTCCTTAATAACCTATGATGACATAGCGAGGCTGATGAAAAGGCACCAGGCTTGGTGGAAACTGTGCTGTCCTCTCCTGTGGCCTGTTCTGAGCCTAATTAGCAGGTGGATTACTTTTGCCACAGTTACTCAAGGTCACGAGCACAACCGCCTGTCAGAGGAGGACCAAGTACAACCTCCAGGTTTAAAGAACAAGCGGAGCGTGTCATGTTCACAACGCCACTTCCACGGGTTCACGCCGAACGTCTCATGTTTTCAGTGGCGAACTTTTCCATTAAACTGACCTCACGCAGCCGAGAGGGATGCCCCTCCCGCCCCCAGCGGCCCAGGCCTTCCTCCCGGGCGCCAGTGTCCGGCGAGGTGGACCGCCCAAGACTCACCCAAAGGCGCCAGGCTCGGCCCAGCCCGGCGCCCCAGGCCCAGCCCTGGGGGAAGCCGTCTGACCCCGAGAAAAGCAGCTGCATAGCCCAAAACACAAAATGCACTACTCGGCGCTCCGGACATATCCCCATATTCCTTTCGTTAAGAACACGCAGCCCGAAGTGCGGTCTTGACACCGAGGCCAAGTGCACCCAAGAAAGCGGGCCACGACTCCGGGGACACCGCAAAGCCCACTCCGCGCCACCCAGGCCTCGTTTCTCACACGCACCCTCCGGCGGCGGCGCCTCCTCCACAGAGCAGAGGCTCGAGCGAGGCTGACAAATGGCTCCGTTCGATTTTTGGGGCCCGGCCCCTCACCCCAGCTCCGCGGCCTCCTGGAGCCGGCGGGCGCCCCGCTGCCGCTGGCACACCGACCTCTCGCTCCAACAAGCTCTGCCCACACCTTGTCCCCGCTCAGCCCGCTCCCTACTGGCGGGTGTCCGCTGCTGCCGCCACCACCTCGGGAGAAGACCTACACGAAACGCTTACCCATTGGCTGCTGCCTCCCCACCTGACCCTGGCGCTCTACGCGCACGTGGAAAACTGTTGTTGCCTTTCGAGCTGTACGTCACTTCCTGCCCCACCCGCCGAAGGGCGGGACTGAAGCCTATGGAGGCGGAAGTGAGTCGACGGTTCCCCGGTCTTTGCGTTGGGCAGTGCCCGGCGCAGGCGCGGTAGCTCCGGGCTGTCTACATTTGCGGCCCCGCCTCAGCGAAGAGGGCAGGCCCGCGCCCCTAGCCGACCGGGGTCACCCGGGTCTTTACCTAAGTGATGCCCCGCTATTGCGCTGCGATTTGCTGTAAGAACCGCAGAGGACGAAACAATAAAGACCGGAAGCTGAGCTTTTACCCGTAAGTTGTCCCTCGGGCAGAAGCGTCAGCCCGGGCCTGGGTCGGCTACCTGTTCCCCGGGCGTGGTTGGTTGTCCTCGTGCAGGCCGAGGGCGTGAAGGCTTGCGTTGACTGCTTGAGTGCTCATGGACAGGGTGAAAACAGCGAAATGCTTGGTGGCTGTGGTTTTTTGAGCCTCACCCCATTTCGTTGAACGGCATTAGCTAGGATTTATGGCGCGTCGTACTGCCATGGTGCACTCAGTTTACTCACTTGTCTGGTGAGGTCGGTCGTACGGTACAGTTTAATTCCATTTTCTCCTGAGAAAATTGAGCCAATGTAGATTAGCGATTTAGAACGTTTTGTGCCAGAGCTGGAATTATAGGCGTCCTGTTGGGACGTATATACAGAAAGCAGGTTGGGTACGTTTGTTCTGAACTGCTGAGGCCACGAAATATTTAGGCCACACTCTACGGTAACTGAGTTTTGTTCGGAAGATCAGGGAAGCGGTGTTGGGTAGAAGAACCCAGACTCAAGAGCCACACTCACTGCAGATCCTGATTCCATTGCTTTCTGAGTGACCCCTTGCGAATTACACACTCATTTGAAAAGTGGAGCTGTTAGAAGGACGTCACTAGGTACATGCTAACACATACAAAAAGCCTATGGAAACCAATTCACTTAAAACATTCCATTTTCTTTTTTTCCCTCGTATTTAAAAATAATTTATGAATGATGGAGGGAGTGAATTCAACTGTGATATATTGTAAGAACTTTTGTAAGTGTCACAGTGTACCCTCAGTACAACAATAACATAATAAAAAATAAAATAATGACTTACACTAGAGCTAGCCTGGTTGTCTTTACTTTCTTCAATTTTTCCACCTGTTATTTTATGAATCCCATTTTAGTTTAGTCGTGAAGTTGTCATTCGCTAATGGTTCAGTGTTTTCCATTATCTCAAGTAATGGGAAAAAAACCATGATAACCCCAAGGAATTCACTACGTGGCCATATTTTTCCAGGATTGTCTTCCTCGACTCCCTTCCACACAGTGCAGAATGATATTTTTGGGGAAAAAAATTCAATAAGTGGTCAGTTGAAAAACAAATACTAAAATATGAATGACTCTAGCTCTCAGAAGGTTTGTAGCAAAAAAAAAAAAAAAATTTCCTAGATTTATTTAGCCCTGGATTTGGGAGGCATAATCCCTGACTTAAAAATTTTTGTGGACCTCAAAGGCACTATTTTTAAGGAAAAAAAATAATGTCAACTGAACTATGAAGATTATTTTCCTCAAGATGTGAATTTAAAGTGAAAATTTTAAATATTTTTTTAAATTAAGTGTGTAATCCACAAAATAAGAATTAAATTACTTTTATTCCCCTAATAGTGCCAGACTTGAAGAATTGAATTTGCTCATAGCAAGCTATACTATAAATTTATATGAATTTTGTAATTCAGTAAAAGTATGCCAATAGTATTCAATATACATTGGGGGCTGGATGTGGCAGGATATGTCTGTAATCCCAGAGGCAGAGGCAGGAGGATGTGAGTTAAAAGGCCAGCCTTTAACAAAATTTATGCTTTAATAACTTAGGCATTTGGGAGATTTACATAGAACAGTGAAATAAAATTAATAGTCAAACTTATTTAGCCAATATAGAGATACTAAGTTGGGGGCACCACTCAGTGGTAGGGCTCATTCATAAGGTCCTGGATTTGATAAAGGGGGAGTGCATATTCACAAAGTGTATTTTTTAAATGATTTGATAATTTAGCATATAAATACAGTGGAAATAATTTGCAAGTAGCATCCTATAGGAATTTGCATGAAGCATTATTGAAAAAGGCATATTCTCCTTTTAGATGTACCAAAAGCTTGAACTTGTCCTTTTTGCTTTTAAGTGCCTTTTCTGATTATGTAGCATACTTAAGACCTGAGTGATTTGTATGTGCAAGGTTAAAATAATTTCAAGACATACATGAGTATTGTTTTCTGTGGTAAGAACTTCCAAAGGTTGATAGAATCTGATTTTTCCACATAAGAGTGTCAATGTTGAAAATTATTTCCTACAAAGTATAGACTTTTCCTGTAGGATCTTACAAACTTGCCAAAATTTAGGGAGGAAAGTATACCCCTTCCTACAAAGCATAAACTAAATGGTCAGGATGGAAGGGAATGTATAATAGCTTATTTTGTGTGAGAAACTCATAGTGTTACTTTAAAAAACAGGAAATTATTATATAGTATATGTCATGGATTGTATTTATGCTTCATTAGATGAAATATAAATCACTGTCAACTGTTGTTTAATATACTTTAACTCAAACCTATTTAATCCAGTAGGAAAATTTTTCTGCTGTTAGTCCAATTTTGCCTATAAAACAATATGTTAACAATATATGTTCACAATATCAAATTCAGATTATTGTCAGTACAGGAAAAAAATTATAGCAGTTTTTCCATACTCTGTCTTTTGTATTTGATTGGTTTCATATAAAATAAATGTCTGGCCTTTTTCTTTTTTTGTTTTTTGTTTTTGAGAGTCTTGCTGTGTAGCCCAGTATAGCCTTAAAGTCTCTATCCTCCTGCCTCAACCTACCTACCAAGATTATAGAGGTGAACCACCATGCCAGACTGAGCCTGACCTTGTTTTAAGATATCTACTTCTTTTCTTACATCAGAGTTCCTCTTTCAGAACTTAAATTTCCATTTTTTTTCTTTTTCTTTTTCTTTTTTTTTTTTTTTTTTTTGTGAGAATGGAGTTTGAACTCAGGGCGTTGCACTGCTCACAAAGCAAGTACTTTACTACTTGAGCCACACCTCTAGCCCCAGAACTTAAATTTTAGAGTTCCTAAAACCTGGAAACAATAGACTAAACTACATACAGGTAGAATTAAAGCTGATGCTAGTAAAGAGAATGGAATATTAGTGGTTTTATTCAGCTAACCCATATGTTTAAATAACCTTCTCATTTTAAAGATATTAGCCAGATGTCTGTGGCTCATGCCTATAATCCTAGGTAATTGAGAGACTAAGATTGGAAGAAATTAAGGCTCTGGGCCAGCCACGGCAAATAGTTCATGAGACCCATCTCCAAAATAACCAGACCAAAATGGATTAGAATCATAGCTCAAAAGCTAAAGTACCTGCTTTGCAAGCTTGAAGCCCTGAGTTCAAACCCTAACCCCACCAAAAAAAAAAAATAATAATAATTAGTATTAGCTGGGCATGGTTGCCCAGTTTGTAATCCCAGCACTCAAGAGGCAGGAAGATTAAGAATTTGAGACCAGAGCTGGCAGAGTGGCTCAAGTGGTAGAACACCTGCCTGGTAAGCATGAAGCCCTGAGTTCAAACCCTAGTACCATTAAAACAAACAAACAAACAAACAACCACAAATTTAAGGCCAGCCTGGGCTATATGAGTGAGACCCTGTCTCAATAAAAAAGTATTAATGTAAATAAGAGCCTAAAGTTTATTAGCACTGCCTAATATTATAGACAACAAATAATTTGACTTGCAACATTAGTATGGAATATATTTGAATGGGAATTTATAATTTATACAATGCTCCTTCCTAATTTTAGGCAAAGTGCACAACAGAAGTGAAATATAGTACTGGAGGCATGGCTCACTTGGAAAGAGCCTGCCTAGCAAATTCAAATCCCTATACCACACACACACAGAAGAAGAAGAACTTAATCCATTGAAAATATGAATAGATTTTACCCTTTCTAGCAACATATATTTTACTTGAAGGAACTTTGAATTATGTTTTATAAGCTATTCTCAGGCAAAAGTTTTGCCTATATATCTTGTCTTAGTCCTTATGCTGCAGAGATAATATGGTATTACCTATCATGAAGATGCTCTTGCTTGGTAGGGATGCTTCTCTTGCTTTTGCAGCACTTAACAAATAAGATTACCTACATAAGTAGGCCAGGAACCTGCCAAAATTGCAAAAATACACAAAATTTTTCTTTTTCTTTTTTTGTGTGTGATTTCAGGTTTCCTCTACATGACAAAGAAAGACTTGAAAAGTGGCTAAAGAATATGAAACGAGATTCTTGGGTTCCCAGTAAATACCAGTTCCTGTGTAGTGACCATTTTACTCCTGACTCTCTTGACATCAGATGGGGTATCCGTTATTTAAAACAAACTGCAATTCCAACAATATTTTCTTTGCCTGAAGACTGTCAGGTATTGGAGTAGTGGGGGTGGGGTAATGCTAAGCCCTGGTGTCAGGTGATCAGGGAGGGAGGGAAAGAGTACTATAGAGAAAACAGATGCTTGGGGGAAAGAAATATTAATATGCACTTTTAGCAAAGTGTGATTTTTTTAAATTGAACAGTTATCAAAACACAGTTTAAGAGAAGCAAAAAATAACGTGTACACATTATTAAAGTTATTAACATAAATTAATGAGTTAAGCTTTTCTTACTAGTCATTCAGATGACCTATAATGTTTCTGTCATATGTTGAAAGTGCTTGATGCTTTTTTAAAACACTTTAATCTGACTTCTAGGCCTTAAAAAAAAAAACACTTTAAGATATTTTTAAGTTGTTATATACTTAGAACATTTTTCTAACTGAGTAAGTTTGCTTGGACACCATACTGCTCAAAGTTATAATTAGTCAGAACTAATAAGAGAAAAAGGCCACAAGTGTATCCTTTTTAGAATTTGAAAATATTATTTTCTAGGGAAAAGACCCTTCTAAAAAAAAATCCCAGAAGAAAAAAATGGGAGATGAGAAAGAAGTGTCCTTAAAAGCCATGTCTGAAGAATCATCTACGTCAGATGAAATAAAGAAAAATACAGTTAACATAGGTGTACTCCCTGAACACACAGAATTGCTTGATTCATCTGCCATGGTGAAGCCACCAAGTCCAAAAATAGAAAGCATAAAAAATAACATATTAACTCTTAATCTAGTTAAACAAGATACCGGAGAAACAGGTTCTAACTTGGAAACATCAGTTCACCAAGGTTTAGGTATAGGTGGTTTTCATACATCTTTTGAAAATCTAAATTCTACAACAATTACTTTGACAACTTCAAATTCAGAAAATATTCAGCAGTCTTTGGAAACCCAAGAAGTACTTGAAATAACTACCAGTCATCTTGCTAATCCAAACTTTACAAATAATTCCATTGAAATTAAGTCAACACAGGAAAATCCATTCTTATTCAGTACAGTCGAAGAGTTAAACACAAATAAAGAATCTGTTATTGCCATTTTTGTACCTACAGAAAATTCTAAACCTGCAATTAATTCTTTTATACCAACTCAAAAAGAAACCATGGAAATGGAAGACATAGACATTGAAGATTCCTTGTATGAGAATGTAGACCATGATGCAGAAGTTTTACAAACTGAGCATTCTTACTGCAGACAAGACATAAATAAGAAACGTCTTTGGCAAAAAGTCTCTAAGCTGCATTCAAAGATTACTCTTCTTGAGCTACAGGAGCAACAAACCCTAGGAAGGTTGAAGTCTTTGGAAGCTCTTATAAGCCAACTAAAGCAGGAAAACTGGCTAGCTGAAGAAAATGTCAAGATTATAGAAAATCATTTCACAACATATGAAGTCACTATGATATAGAGTAAAAAAAAGTTTTGAAGCTGTAATTTTTTATAAGCATTTTCTAGCTAAACCAAATTATATGTAAAGTGAACTTTTTCCTGTAAAGTTCTTATCCTAAGCTATGAAAGTGCTCTAATGTTATGAACTGCATCCCATTCTTATAATGCCATTGTAAGAGAAAATCTAGAAAGTGGGGCTAAAGAAACAGTTTTATTTCTTGATAATTTTCCAAATTACAGTTAAAATACAGTGAATAAATAATATTTAATCATAAAATGAGAGAGTAAGTTATAGTCAAAGCATCCCAAAATAGATTAGTCCTGGCTCTTCCAGATGATTTGAGCAAGCTGCTTACCAAGATTAAGCTTCAGAGGGCTTGGGATGTAACTCAGTGGTAGAGCCTTTGCCTAGCTTGCCTCAAGCCCTAGGTTCTATCCCCAGTACTGGGACAAATTTTCTATAAGATAGTATGTACTTAAAAAATAGTAGAATTGATATTAACTGTTGGATTATTCTCAATATTCTGTTTTGTTCAACTATTTGTGTATAGTTATGTATCTGTAATATAAAGGAAAATGTAATATAAAAAAATAATATACTTATGTACCTATAACTATTATAATTTTATTGCAGTTGAACTCAGCTCTTAGGAGAGGTGCTTTAAACTTGAAAGTATATATTTTAGTACTTTATACGTAGCTGAACATCATAGTACATAGTCAAGTAAGTTTCTTAACATCTTGTATTTATAGTTATATTTATAAACCAAGAACTTTAATGAGGTTAATTTTAAATATATACTAGTATATTTTAGAAATCATGATTTATATCTATTTCTTAATAGGTGTAGTTTTTAAAGTGTGTGCTTATCTCGTTTTTTAAATCCAAAATAATTGTGTAATACTTAATAACTGTTCCCTCTAGCATATATTTTAGTAAAATTTATAAGGAAGAAATTATAGGTAAGTGCTGATGACCTTGGGAAGAGAAAGTTCTCTTAGAAAGGAAAAGCAATGGTGATATAAATAAAAATACTGTTTATATTGATACTGAATGTAAGAAAAATAAACATAAAAGCAAGACATTGTAACAACAGAAATGTGAAAAATAAATAAGTTCCTTGAAAATTGGCAATTAATATAATGGAATGTTACTGCCTGTGGAACTAAGTTAGTTCCAATCAGCCTGATTCTTAGTTTTCTTATCTGTTAAATAAAAAATATGTTTATCTATCTTAATGGACAGGTTTGAGAATTCTGTAAGGTAATAAACATGTTTTGGGACCTGAAAAATAGGAGGTGCTCAATAAATATTAGTTGACTCTGAAGCATAGGTAATACACTAATTGTTTTGTAAATTCATGTTGATTTTGAAATGTTTCACTTAGTTTATTCAGAATAATAAAATTGACTGGTATTGTTTGACCATGTGTCCACTAATGATAAAAATACTAGAGGCATTTTTATCTCCTCATGGGTGGAGGAGAAAAAATGAAGTATTCCTATGTTGCATTTTTCTAATACTTAATTTAAAATAAGTAATGCAAATGAAAATAACTTTAATTAGCAGTGTACCTCATACTAATTTTCTATTTGTTCGTTGTTACAGATTCTTTAAAAATAATGTGTGTATTTAACTGTATTTCTTTGAACTTAATAAATTACCGTATAAGATATTTTCTTGGCTTGGCTATAATCAATTGAGGATGTTTTCAATCTAACCCAGTTAACCTCTAAATTGTATTTGCAAATTCTGGCCTGCTTTGTTTCTTATTTGAACTATTACAAGAGCCTCTTAGTTAATCTTGCTTATCATCCTGGATTCTGCTGTCAGCTTTTTTCTATAGTACCCATCTATCAGGTACTTTCTAGCTTAGAAATTTCAAATTTCAAATTACTCTCTAATACCTATAAAATAAAGCTACACTTATTACTGTTGTATTTGTGATCCTCTGTGATTCTGTCCATCCTCTGTTCTACCCACACTGGGTTTCTTAGCACTTCCCAAACCTCCAGACAGGTGATGTCTGTCCCTGTGTCTGCTTATTGTATTCCCTAAACTCAAATAGTCTGTCAAAATTATACTCAACTCTGATGGAATTTTATCCCTAATTTCCAGTCAGAATTGTTTCTTATAAGAGATTTGGGGCTTTGCTTTCGGGGGGATTTTGGTTGTTTTTGTTGTTGTTTTTGTGTTTTGTGACAAGAGTCTCACTGTGTAGCCCAGGGTGCCCATGAATTCAAGATCCTCCTGCCTCATCCTCCTAAGTGCTGGCATTACAGACATGTACCACCACACCCAGCTGGGGCTTGTTTTATAATTTTAACAGCATTTGTCTTATCTCTATATCATGATGATATCTATAGCTACCTCTTCCACTAGATTGTAAGCTTTTTGATAGGATTTTCCTGCATGTTCTTCTATAATGTGGCTTTATGAGCCCCTATCAAGATGTAGAGGTATTTCTACCTTCTTGAATCTCTGTGGATTCTGTGGCTTATTTGGCCAGTAGAATATACTATAAGTGATACTGGTGGTTCCAAACTTGAGCTTAATTGGTCTGACATCTTCCATGTCCTCTTTGGGACACATACTCTTAGAAGGCCAGATGCCATGTATGATTACCCCAGGGTACGCTGGGAAAACCCACGTCACGTGGAGAGGCTGAAGAATGGGACATCAGATACCAGTGAAGAACCACGTTGGAAACTGATCCTCAAGCACCAGCTGCTCCATTTGACACCAAATACAGCAGGGACAACCATCTAGCTGAGTGCTTCTCAAATTTCTTAATCACAACATTGTGAACAAATAAATACTGTTTAAGCTGCTGATTCAAGATGGATACCTAGGCAGCAGTAAACAAAACAACTCCCTTTCTGTATTTCCATTTGTGTTCTGATACTAGACAACATAGTCATTCTGTAAACCTTCAAAAACATTGTTCTTCCCTCTGTTGTTTTCACTTGCCTGAACTCCATTCCTGCTTGAACTCAAATACCTTTTTTTCCTTTTCCAGTATCAGAACAGCTAGCTGGAGTAAATCACATAAATGGGCAGCCTTGATTCTAAACTCATTAGTAGAAACCTCAAATGGGTCCAGCAGTATAAGTTCATCAGTCTCAAATTCTCCCTCACATCCCCCTTCCTCTCCAGCCCCTACCCTCTACTCATTCAAGCTGAGGATCTCCTCACATGCTTTATTGACAACATCAGAACAACCACAAATACCCCTGACTATGGGCTGAATGTAGCCTCCCAAAATTCCTGTTTCAAAGCCCTAATCTCCAGTATGATTATTGGAAGGTAAGGCCTTAAGAAGTAATTAAAGTTAAATTAAGGTCGATTGGTGGGGCCGATAAACACATCCAGAAACTTGTTTTCTTGACCACATTTGGGCACACCAAGAAGGCAGCCATCTGTGAGCCAGGAATCGAGCCTTCATTAGAGCCTGATCTGGGTGGGGAGGGGAGAAGTGTCCCAAACAATATATGCACATATGAGTAAATGTAAAAACAATAAAAGAAAAAACAAAAAAGAGCCTGATCTAGCTGGCTTACTCCTGCCTATAATCCTGGCTCCTTGGAAGGCTGAGATTGGGAGGATTGTGGTTCAAGGCCAGCCTGGGCAAAATGTTCAAGAGACTGCATCTCCAAAATAACCACAGCAAAATGGACTAGAGGTGTGGCTCAAGCCGTAGTACCTGCTTTGCAAGTGCCTGCTTTCCAAGCACAAACCTCAGTCCCACCAAAAAAAGAACCTGGTCTGATGGGCACCCTGATCTTGAACTTCCAGCTTCCAGATTCATAAGAAAAAGTTGCTGTTGATTAAGCACTCAGTCTATGGTATTTGTTACGGCAATCCAAGCTAAGACACCTGTATGATCCAAAATAATAGCTAGTATACAGTAGTTAAAATAAGTAGATCTACATGTACCAACTTGAGTAAATCCCAAATAATGCTCAAGAAAATCTTCAATTATAAATGGTTAATAACAATGTACTACTTAAAATTTACAGTACAAGCCAGGCATCGGTGGCTCTCACCTTTAATCCTGGCTACTTGGGAGGCTGAGATTGGGAGGATCAAGAGGTACTGGGCCAGCCTGGACAATTAGTTTGAAAGACCCCATCTCCCAAATAACCAGAGCAAAATGGATTGGAGGTGTGGCTCAAGTGGTAAAGCTCCTGCTTTACAAGCATGAAGCCCTGAGTTCAAGCTTCAATCCCACAGAAAAAAATTAAAATACATGAAATAGTAATGTTTGCATATGTTGCCATATGCATAATATATGTAATGTATGTTGCATGTATAGTTAAAAGCACACTGACTTCAAGATAATGATTACCTCTGGGAAGCCAGGTTTATGGTGAGAGACGTGATTCATGAAAAAGGAAAGTAAATGAATAAAAAATGTCTAAATGGATAGACACAAGAGGTGGAAGATTGGGAGGACCAAGGTTCAAAGCCAACCGCAGCAAAACATTCTCGAACCCCAGTTCAACCAATAACTCTGCATGTGGCACATGCTTTTATCCCAGCTACCTGGGGAAACACAAATAGCAAGAAAGTCCAGGCCAAACCCACACATAAAAGTAACCAAAGCAAAAAGGCTGGGGACATGGCTCAAGTGGTAGAGCTCCTACCTAGCAAGTGAGGCCCTGAGTTCAAAACCCCCAGTACCACAAAAAAATTTTTTCTAATCATTTTTTACATTTACTCACGTGTATACATTGTGACCACCTCACCCCCCTCCAAAGTGTTAATATCTATGTAGTAGGTCTACTTTTTTACTCTGTTTAAAATATTTCAGAGGTTAAAAACTTACATATTTTAGTTAAAATGACAAAAGAGTATGTTAACATTTTATGAAATTAACTAAAGGTAAATCTATACTTAGACTCGTCTAATTGTTTTATAATTTTCTGTCTTTCTGGTTCAAGACCACTTGCAAGAGAAGTAGGTAGATGAGATTACATAGTGAAAGAGTTGATAGACGTCAGTGACTTGCATGTGAAATAGGCATTATAGACAGTAAATCCCAGCCACTTACACACACACAATGATGTCCACAAGGCTGATTTCAGGAATCAATTAATGTTAGCTTACATGGGAAAAGGTACTCTCGAAATGTAAATAAGGTTATCTTAAGATTGGAAAATTATCCTGAACTCTCTGGGTAGACCCAGGCTAAACATTTGAGTCTTTTCCAGATAGAGTCAGAGAGATCAATATGACAACTCAGCCAACCTTGCTAGTTGTTCAGATGGAGGAAGAAGGCACAATTCAAGGAGCATGACAATATCTAAAACCTGGAAACAGCTCAGTTTATAGCCAGTGAGAAATGATGACCTCAGTCCTACAACCAAAAGGAACTGAATTCTGCCAAAAATACAAATAAGCAGAAAGTCTATTCCCCCACCCCAGCCTCTAGAACATATTCTACCAGCACCTTGATTTTAATTTGTGAAAACCATACATGACTTCTGAAGAAGTATAATAAATTTACATTTTAAGCCACTGAGTTTGTGGTAATTGTTAACAACAGCAATAGGAAAGTAATACAAGCACTTAATCTATTTGAGATTCAGCTTTCTTTTATTCTCCTCAAATTTTTCCCCACCCTACCTTAAAAGAGTGTACCCCATTTAATCCTGTTGCTTAATTCACTGAAGACAGCTTTCTTACTGAAATACAAATGATGCTTTATTTGCGGCTTTTAAGTTATATAGAGCATCATAAATGTGAAAAATAATTTGTAAACGATAAAAAGGGCTATAGAGTGTCAGCTATTAACATTTTATTTTGATTCTTTTTGAAATTATCTTAAAACTCAAAAATTGTATTTATATTCCTGCATTTATTCATTGAGGCCTAATGTATAGAGTACAAGATTCTGCCCTGATATCAGAATGAAAAAGAATGTAGTAGTTTCTTCAAAATTTTTCTCCTGTGGAAATACACAGCCATGATCCATTTAGAATTGGCTGGCAGAATTCTTGTCATCTGAGGTAAAATAAGCCATAGATTTACTCCTAAAACCTGAATTCTGAAATAAAACATTCCTAGGATATAGAGTCAGAAAGTTGGAAATTTGTGAAACTCTTAAAGTTATAGTGAATATTCCTCAGACTCTGAAATGGAAGGAAGTAGAATGAATAAGGTGCATAGAAGATGAAAGGGAGAAGACTGGATAAATGGAAGACGAGAATGGATGAATGAATGGTTAGGTAGATTAATGAATATTGGGAATTTTACACTTTTTGTGTGTGTGTATGGTATTGGGGTTTGAACTCAGGGCTACACCTTGAGCCACTCTACCAGCCCTTTTTTTTTATTATTTCTTTCAAGATAGAGTCTCATGAAAACTATTTGCCCAGCTGCTTCAAACCATTCCTCCTGATCTCTGCCTCCTGAGTAGCTAGGATTACAGGCATGACCCCACCAGCAAGCAGAATCTACACTCTTGACAATTGTATTTTCTGAGAAGTAGCCAGACTCAGGGCTATAAGAAAATCAGGTGAACAACAAGGGGATGACTATGAGCACATGATAAAAGCGAGAGCAACAAGGAGGGTGAGGATAGTAAGACACCTAAAAAACTAGCTAGCATTTGTTGCCCTTAATGCAGAGAAACTAAAGCAGATACCTTAAAAGCAACTGAGGCCAATAGGAAAA